TGGTTTGTAAATCTGCAGATAGCTCCTGCTCCTGATGTGACTTGACTTTATTTTCATAAAGCATTGATTGCTCTGCACAGAGGCCCGGGGAGCACTTGGCAGATATTGAATGTGCCGTTACTGTTTTGGGACAGAAGGGCTTTGCAGTTCTGGTTTGTGAACCTTAGACCACATCCCTTTTAGGTATCGACAGCTGACTAGGACAAAGCCAGTTGAATTCATTCCTGTTAACCCAGGGCTCTTGTGCATATGGGACACCACCACGGCCTCAGCTGTCCCTTAAACCTGGTGTGAGGCACTGTGGGTTCTTTGCATGGGATTCAAGTCATCCCTGTCTGCGTGAAGAGGCAAGTCTCTGCTTGCAGAGCTCAGTCCTCATTGCCATCCTCAAACGCTGTGTACGGGACAGTGCCCAGCAGCATCATTTGGAGGGGACTGAGAGCCGAGTCTCATGTCCTACCCTATGTAGGGTAAGCGTAGGGAGGGGTGGTAGAGCATCTGCACATGTATATGTTTCCATGCGTGCCTCTGCTCCTATATAGGAAGGAGGCGTATGGGCTCAAGCATTTCAGACGTGACCTTAGGTTTTAGTGACTTCTGGTTTTGGGATACCTGTGGAAGATGGTCTCTGTGGGAAGCACTGAAGCTAGCTCTTTGTTGTGAACCTGCGCGGCTTCATTTCTGAAGGTGGGACAGATATGATCAGCCCTTTTAAAGCTAATATTTCTTGTAAAGAGGCAAACAAGCCGGATCTTTCTACTTAGGTAGTGAAGCTGTAAAATGACTTGAACAGTTGTTGTTCTCAGATAGCATCGGTATTCAGCAAGGCCATTTCCCTGACTGTGCCTTTGGAAGTGCCTCTCAATACATATGCAAATGCAAAGCTTATCAGGCCCCTTTTTTGACTGACAGCAAGAAGTCTGGGAGGGGGGCTTGCCTGGGACCAAGCACAATTCTGTTAAGCCTGTGACAATGTGGAAGAGCAGGGCAGGTGAACATGAAAAACAAACCCAGGAGTCAAGTGGGTGGTGGAGCTGTCACGGAGCAGCCCTGGCAGCGAGCATCCTTCCACGTCTCCTGGTGCCGTCTCTGCCTTCCGTCCGTGCGTCTTAGATCTCAGCCTTTTTATACTCTTTTCCTGATGATTTTTTTTCCCCGGGGATAAAACGGAAGGGAGGAAGAGGAGAACGTGTGGCCTTTCATTTTTAGGTTGCAAACTTCAGTCTGGTTTGCTGTTGTCTCATGTCTTTAAAACACTGGATAACTAACCGGTGGATAAAGCAGAAACTGCCCGGCCAGCTCAACTAATACGGGAATGAACGGCCCTCTTATACTTTCTTACAGAGGGTGGAGGGGGATCTCAAATGGATGCAGGGCAGAATTTAGCATCTGTAGTAAGAACACAGCAGAAGCCTTGGACAACTGGTGGGGGCAAGGCATGGTGAGCTGTTTGCTAGAGCACTTTTGTGTACGGCAAAGCTGGAAAGTCCTGAAATGTGCTGCCCCTGCTGGTGGTATCAGTGGGGCTTTGTGTGGTGCTCTGCTTTTCTAGATATTAAGCAGGACTGCTTCACTTGTTTAGTGCTTTTCTAAAGGAGTCAAGAGTATGGCGGCTGTTAAATGCTCCTAGGGAGGTAGCTTTTTACTGAAATCTTAGTGAGCAAAGGTGGATTAAATATTTCTCATTTTCTCTTCAGCAATCCTTTGGAAGTGAGTTGGTAAACCAGGGCTTGATATATTGGCCCTAGTGATCCACCCTAATGTGAGGTGATGAACTCTAGTTTTGTAACATGAATTCAGTATAAATGGTATGAGTTTAAAAAAACCCAAAAAAACCAAACCAACCTGCGATCCACCTTCCCTTCACTTCTCTGAAGTCTGTTTACTTTTATAAACTGGCTTTTTGGAAGCTGATACCTGGAACCTGATGATTAATTATCCACTCACAGAAGACAAGGTAATAAGTATAACTGATAGTGTGAATGCAGCTAATACTAAATCACACATGTAATTTTACGCAGCTCTGGATATTTTGCTGAGAGCCAAGAGGAAGTCTGCTCGGTCTGAAAGTAAATGGTGTTTCCATTCTCCATGTGTGAGCTGGGACCTGGGCTGCAGGACAGGGGCATCTCCAAGCTACGTGATGGGAATTGGCCAGTTGCATCCATGTTGAGTGATATGCCACAGTTCCCATAAATCTACCCACAGATTCAGGACAGAAATCGAGGCACAGTCACTGTGTTGTGCTTGTGAGTGCTTTGGCTTTCCTTTGTATGCACGGCGGGAGTCTCTGTGTGCATACGTAGTCTTTCTGCCCGTCCAGCTTTAGGCAGTGCCGTTGGAGTGATGGGCACTGCTACTGCCTGGTTCCTGCCAGAATAAAGTTTCCAAAAAAAATCAATTAAAAAAAAAAAAAAAGACAGCCACATTGGGTGATATTAACATGACCTGGGGGAAGGAAAAAGCCTTCAGGTACCATAGGATATGTCCCTGGACTGTGAGGTATGTGGGAACATTGGGAGGAGTGACTCCAAGCTCCCTGAGGCCAGGGCAACGGCTTCCACTGGTTTTAGCCTTATCTAAATCTGACTGGGACAACTGTTTATCCATCTGCCAGCCTGGAGGCATACAGACTCACTAGCTGGTGATGTGCCTGGGACAAAATCCTGTGCATGCAGGCAAAGCTTTCAGGCGTTAATTTTTTTCCCCCCATCAACTGAATATTGTTGTTAGAACTTCTCCTTCACCTTCCACTGAAGCTGTTTGCTCTGGGTTCCCAAAATGGGCATTCGCTTTATTTCAGTTGGGTAAAATGTTAATTCATTTCTTTATCAACGTGAACAGTTGTTGGTGTTTTTTTTTTTTTTAATTATTAAAAGCACCAACACTTAAAAAGTGGTCAGAGAAGCCCAGAAGAAAGCCGTGGATATGGCAGATAGCTTGTAGTAGCAGGGATATTAATCTGTGGCCTCTTGCTGTTGTCTACTCCAACGGAGGAAGAATGGTCTCTCTGGGTGAGGGGGTGGGAAGATCTCTGCTTCTATTGATTCCCACTTGTAAATGTCCACATATTTACCTAGAGGGTATGATATATTACAGTTAAAATGGTGGCAAAGAGAAATGGCTGTTCCCTGTGGGTTGGTATTGATTGGATGTGCAGCTACCCTGTGCTTATTTCTCCTCTTCTTCACACACCCTTTAGGCCAAAGTTCTTTGTTTTTATTAGCGTATTTATAATCAATATACATATTATTTACTATGACGTATTAATGAGGCCTTTGAGATGAGAAGATGCAGGGGCAGAAGCAAAGGGTGAGGTTCATTCCATTTAATTTGAGATATCTCCAATATAGACTTTAACATCTGCATCCCCTTGGGCTTCCTTTATCGGCCATGTGGAGAAAGGCACTTTGGTGTCATGATTTATGTCAATTATGTCTGCTTCAGAGGGAGTTGTATGCTAATAGTGCTCTTTCTCTCTGCTGATGGGGAGGCAGCCTGGATGGCTAGTTCATATGCAACCACCTAAAGTCGGGTGAGGTCAGTCCTATTCAAGGTGGTGTGGTGACCATTGTCCACTCTTCCAGTGCAGCTG